CGCCTGAGCGCGGATCGAATGTTGTGCCAAATCATCATCGATGTTGTTGCGATAACGATGATAATTATCAACGAGCATGTTTCAGCCAGGCGATTCCGCTTTACAATTGTACAAAAGTCTCGAGAAAGGCGGTGGGGAATTCCTGAGTTACCTCGACAGTGATCTGACGTTGGCCGATCAGAATGACGAATTTAGTGAAATGAAAAGCGACAGGTTCGTTTGGTTTTTTTGATCAAATGGAAGTATTCGGCTAGTCTCCGATCTGTTAGTACTTCTGATGGGGAGACGGTCAAGACATTCGTAAGTTGTCGCTTCGTCGCGCAGCGGCGTTGGGCGCGGCGCTCCTCAGTTTGAGGTGGCTCGACTGTAGCATCAATTTTATGTGCACTGCAAAATCGTGAGCACTTACGACCATTTCAGGTTATTTCTTGGCTGCTGTCGCTTTCTTCCATCTAAGAACTATCTTCACGTTGGTGGTGCGCGTCGCACGCGTAATGGCGCTCGCAGTGCAGTTGCAGATTGTCCTGTCACATACACTTCCGATGGATTACACGGCGCGTCTGAATTTCGATTTAACCAGGCTGCGCACGGCGAAAAATCGCGATTGCCTTGTCACATTCCTCTTCCGACGCGTGTATACAGAGCGGCCTTGTAGGGTAACGCGCATTGCGCAAAACATATTCAGGCATGTCGCGCAAACTCGCCGCTTGCTCCGTGCGGCAGAACTACGCGAGCATGAGTAATCGCCGCGCGTTTTGAATTTTCATAGAATTTGCATGTCGCATGGCTGCACCTCACACCCAACCGTGCTTTCGGTGCAATGTGCGTGAAAAATGAGTATACCTCCGTAAGCATGCCTGAAATCAATACCTATTTTGGAAGTATACGCGTAATGGACGGGTCGGTAGAAAAACCTTTTTTGAGGTCGTCCTGGAAGTTGTTTTGCCTAGTTGTGCGTGAAATAGCTGAACTCATGCCGGCACCTACAACAGTGCAGCCCATAGATCCAGAAGGGTTACCTGTCGGAGGTGCTGACCCAGGAACGTTAGTGAAGTCGAATTGATCGCCTTGGCATTCATCAATACTATTGGTTACGTTACGAAGTTAAGCGGAACTTTAGACTTTCAAAGCAGGGCCGGTCGTACTTGAGACTGCTCCCTGGCGCAGAAGCTTCATTTTGGTCGCTTAGAAGGAGGAGGGTCAATTGCTTTTGACAAAGAATGTTTTGATGGTCGGAGCTTTTCCTCGCATTCTTACCCCTTCCAAATCGGTTACCACCACTGCTGCCCACCCTAGACAAACAGTTTTTTCGGAGAAGGTGTTGGGATCGTTTGTAGTGATGTTTAGAAGTAATATCGTAGTAGAACAGGTATGAGGATTGGGAAAAAAGAAGAATCAGAGGTCGCACCAGAGCTGAATTTCGAGGATGGGGGGGGGGGTGGTACAATAGCGAATTCTCTTGCGACGTGTCCTGTATTAATGAAGGGACATACTATTTGAAGCGAGTGTGCTCCATGCAGGTGGGAAACATTCAGTGTTTTAAGCCATCTCTGTCAGGGCACGCCATCGTTTAGCATTCCTCTGCCCAGGAGTGTGGAAGGGGGGGGGTTTCGTATTTTGTTACTGGCACAGGAGAATCCTATTCGTAAAGCGAATTTCTTCGAATAAATAGATTTAATAGCCGTCAATTAGCCTTACTCCGCTCGATGAGGTCGAGGGTGCCCTATTGAAGAGCGGGATTCCCCCTCATCTGGACTGAATGACTGTGGGGTAGAAAAATGCGGCTATCAGAAGCAGGATTCATGCTAGAAAAGCGTGCCGGTGGTAAGTGCTCTGACCTAACACCTGGACCACTGTCCCACTCACGTAACCTTTACTTGATAATTTACAGAGCGAAATTTGCCTCGATAATGGGGTCTATGTATTTTACATTTTCTGTGGCTCCATTAAAAAATTCCATTCACTTAACTTCATTTTTTACATTTCGCTGTTCATTTTTTTGAGCTTACGTTCTAAGGAATTTTCAGATTTTCCTACGGCTTAGTTTAGGTCTGCATCCTTTCATTTGGTATCTCCGCATGAATTATTGCACAGAGATTCAGTTAGCCGTGAATTTCGGGACTCGGGTGAAATCGGATCCCATGATCTTTCCAAATCACTGACATCGATCCTGTGACGTTCTCATTTCATCAGCCCGCCTACCTACGAAGATTTCATCCAGATATACGAAATCACCATAATCTTCATCAATCAATTCTCGGTCCCAATCAGGGCCTGACGGGTATCTCCAACGTAGTGAGCATTGGTCCGCGCTGAAGGAGTATAGTTTGGGGTTCGTAACGGTTTCAGGAGAAAAATGTTTTCGGCTGTTGCACTACCGCGTTTCGACTGTATATCCCTACCCTACCCCGCCTTCTTTTACTAACGGGCAGAACGTGCCGTGTCCTGAACTGATGCAAACGCCATGGAATCAGCCTCTCCCTTGGAAAATGTTCGCCTTGGATACGTAGGAAAGAACATCCACTATGGAATGGTGAATGAGGAGTCAAAATAGAAAGTAGTAGTGTGAAAGTGAAGGGTAATAGAAAAAAATAGGCGCTCCAAAAGGTCGAGCGAGCAGAGCCATTTCGTCAGTACAGTCCCGTACTATCGGCCCTTCGACTATATCTGACGCAAAAAGGGTAAAGACTAAACCTCAGCCATTGATCAAGCTGTGGGAATTGCCGGCATGTAAATTCTAGCTTTCCCATTCGCAAAGAATGCGTTGTGGTGATTGAATGCGGCCTATTACAAGTACTCTGCCAAAGGCCAGCCAATGCACGAGGCAGTGTTATTGTCTTCCCAGATGAAAATGGCACCAAATCACCGTCCCCCGCGGGTGGAATTTGTTGACCTGGGCGGAGTGGGCCCGAGAATTAGGTAAGCGTGCCTTTTGCCTTCTAACAGATAGCCTCCTCCTCTAGTCCCTCTCATCAGTACTTCACCCTTGACGAAGCGACCCCTCTTTTTAACTCAGAGCCTTGTTTTCACCAGAAGTTTGTCCCTGAAATATAGCTCGATTCTCTGCCACAGATATCGCACCCTTAGCTCGCGACCCGCGCCGTCGCGCCCCACGCTAACGATACTCTAGGAAGCACGAGGTCTTGGGGCGTTGTTCGCTGGGAATACATGAGGATATGTTTAGAGGGCCTGGTTTTTGGCGCGGCGGCTCAGCACCGTTTTTCCAAGCCATTTCTCGCCACTTGTCCGCTTGAAGATCTGTGGAGAAACTGGCTAGCACCCTCGCTAAACGGCACCTTAGGCACTCCCCATGGTCTGCAGAGAAAAGCAATCTGCACACAAATGAGAGTCCAGTTATTATTTATTTATTAATTACCCTAAAATCCCATAGATAAGAGCGGTCCATAGATAAGGGCGGTTTGTGCTAGTTGTTGTGAAATAAACTTTTAAAAATGTTTATTTAAAATCATTTTTTACCGGTAAATAACACCGCTCTTATCTATGGAATTTTACTGATCGAATGGGCTCTTCAAGTTCTATCCAGAAATCAGATTCCGGCATTTCTAGAGAGATTCCGGCAGAAATTCCGTTAAAATCGCTATTTTTCTATATGAATTGTTTATTAAGTGGGCGGGGTTTAGAGTTGAGGGGCGGAGCTTCTTCTAAACTTCTTCTCCGATTTTTATTTATCCATCCATCAAGTTAGAGGGGTGACTGCATTCAATTTCATTCCAATTCATTTTTCACCGGTAAATTAAACCGCTCTTATCTATGGGATTTTAGGGTCAAATTTATTTATTTTATTTTAATTCCTATGCGCTCCTGAGATGCACCCAGTGAGAATACCCACGTAGACAGAAATTCCCAGGCATATACGGTTAGAGACCCAAACACGCAAAATGACACAACTAAAAAATTAAAAAAAAGAAAATTGAACGAAAAATGGGTGCTAATAATCACTTCACTCAGTCTGTTAGGGAAAAATATTGATCAGGCCAATAAAAAATCGGCCTTTCCCATAATGATACCAGGGATGTTTATTTTACCAAAACCCAGAGAAAACCTTCCTGAAGTCTGGAAAAATCTGCGGCCATGCGTTCTCAAAACGACCAGTGCGCTCTAAAATTGCCCTGGAACTGGCTCGTGGACTTTTTTCTCTATGGCAGTCAGGATTGCAGGTCATGCAGTTAAAATGCCTCGTCGAAATTTCTTGAGTTTCCTGGCTGATTGCTGGTGAGGGGGGACCCGTCGTGGGTGCGATTGGTGAACCCCCGCTGATCGTCGCTCTTATCCTTTCGCCTTCTCGTCCGTCGGTAGTGGTTCTGAACCGCGACGACATAATATGCAATGGCCGCAGTAGTAAAATAGTCTGCGGCTACTATAATTGATGGCCAAATTGCTCTTGAAAAGAGGGCAGCCCTAAGAGGTAGGATTTGCAGATCTCATCTGGGAGAGACGTCTGGGAAGGAATTCTGGGGGCTTTTCATCGATTGGTTTCTTATGGATGTGTAAGTGTCAGGGAGAAAAGCGGGAGAAATTCGATATGCAGACCCTCATTTAGCTAAAAAGTCGACAAAGCAAACATAAGGCGAGGGATCCAACTGGAGGCAAAAATAGCCACGGTCCTCCCCCCCCTCCCCCCCCCCCCCCTCCCCCGAGCTCCTGGGAGAGTTGGGCAGAGGAACTCCAAAAAAAGATAGTTAGCATCATCGATGGTATCAGGCGGAAAATAGAAAAACAACAACAACGATTGAGAAACTCCGCGGTCTTCATGTTCCTGCTCTCCCCCCCCCCTTATCCCCTCCCTTCCCCGTCTTGTCCATCCAAGGGATATACTGGAATTTCTGGCGCGATTTCTCATTGGGCGTGGCTACCCGGCCACAACAATCGGTGTCACTCGCCCCATGGTGTCCCGTCGATTGCGATATTAGGCCATTTTCATATTCTCACGCACTCTCGGAACTGCACTGCCCTCATCGTCTACAATCTCCTGTGACCTAATGTCCTTCACGGAGTCCTACTCGTCCAGATATCCCCCCATAGCCAGCCGACAGGACAAAGCCGTCTATTCAGCCGCTCCAGTGAAGACGTCCTTTGCTCGATCTGTGCCGAGCTATGAAGAAATCTATTCAGCCCCTTCAAAACCTATTCTGAAGGCTTACGATATCGATCTATCCATTCACATCGATGCCTCGACATCCATGGCACCACCCCGTCTGGGACGAGTCACCTGTACCTTTGACGAAGTTGATGCCTACAGACCGAGGACATCAGCGGCGAAGCTAGACCTCCCTCTGATTGTGAAACCTTTGAGACAATTCGATCGAGAATCAACTTTGGAGCGCAGGAGTCGCAGTACTGAGACCCGAGACCAACCCTTCGTGGAAGCCAGACAACCCCGGGTTGAGGCCCCAACCATTTGTCGTCGAAGAACAATGGGAGCAGCAGATGATGCCAAAGCCTAAATGGTACTCGAGTAGCGTCGACGGTGGCCCTGAATCATCTACACTCCCTAAGAATTTCCTCCGAAAACCATCCGTCCTGCATACGGCAGCTCCTGTTGAGGTGGCAGCTATCCCATTTATTGATGACGATGTCCCTGCTCCTCCAAAACCTGCGAGGAGCTACACGGAACTTGGCGGATTTTCCCAGGATGTGCAGGAGAAGGTGACGCCCCGGCTCCTGGACAGCTTTGAGAAGAAATCTGGTCTTCTGACCTGCACAGCCAAGCCCGTTCAGCTGGTAGACCCTGTCACATCGGTCGTCAGAAGGGATCCAAAGCCGTTAGAGCTGAGCCGTTCTTCTTTTCTACCAGCCACAGCTGAGCAATCAAAGCCAGTTGTGAAGATTGTACCAGCTCAAGACGGAGGACTTCCAAGCGCGCAACGGAAACGATATCCTTGGCAAATCGCCAGCACAGATGAGGAGAAACCTCCTCCACCTGTACCAAATGAGATATCCCATGATGTCAGCCACTTCCGTGAAGATAGTGGTTATCGATCGGATCGTAAATCTTCCATGGAATTCCCTACCGAACTAGGCACCCGACCTGCGTTATTCGTAGAACCACAAGTACCCCTGGACTCTCAAAAAGCCCTATTGGATGAGTCATTCAGCGAGAGCGAATGGGTCAGTGATGATGGCGATTTTCCATGGGATGACAACGGCCAACCGCCGATGAACAGGTTTGCGATATCTCTAACGATCTCTACGGGCTGTAGCGAAACGGTCGGGACTAGCCGAATTCCTACTGAAATGAAAAATAGAAATATTCTGCTATCGATTTTTTTGTTAAAATATTCGGTGCATTTCGGCTTAGTGGGGCAGCAAATGTACTTAGCCGAAGCAGTTGATGCCTACCATGTTGAAGGCTTGTAAGTAAAATATTCGGTACAGATTGGCTAGGGGGGAACAGCAAACAGTACTTAGCGAAGCCAGTTGATGCCACCTTGTGAAGGCCTGTAAACTCTGTAACCAAAGTGGTCATACCATTCCGGAGCTTCATAGGAGCTTACAGGTTTTACCAAAGTATTACTTGTTAATTGGCACGAATTAGATGGAGGAATAGCAAAAGTTCAAATTGCCCCTCCCAAGCTAAGCAGTACCCAAATATTCGTTTATTTTCAGTAAAAGATACAGTTTGGTGCTGAGGACACAAACACCATTGCGGGTCAAGACTATAATAGGTAAATTGTTTTTGTTATAACCTATTCATTGTCCTTTTATAAAGCCCCTAATTTCAGACAAACTTCTCTCCAATACTGGGCGTGACCAACGTCGGGCATTGTTTTCATTAAAGAAAATCTTTCAGGTAAGCTTTCAATTTATTGTCTTGAATTTGAGTCCTTAGGCTTTTTTTATGGTTCAAGGTTTTGATTAGCGCAGTTCGGCTTGGTGGGGGCACACAATAGTATGAGTCTGAGCGA